GCCGCTTCTTGTCTCCCCGCTCCGACGTGCAGGGCCGCCCCGCTTCCCCCAGCCCGGCCAGGCCTCCCCCGAGGGAGCGGAGCCGGGCGCCGGGCGGCACGAGCCGGGGGCAGGAGGGCAGCTCCCCGCCGCCTCCCTCCCGCTCCGCCGGGCAGAGCTTGCCGCCGCCTCTGCTCTTGTCAACCGTAGGTTGCAACTGGGGACAGAGAGAGGGGGGGGGTGGAAACCGCCCCCCACCCCCCAATAAAACTCTATACAGTATGCACTCCTTCATGTCACTGTCGGCTTGCTACTACGGTACGGACCCGAGAGAGAGAGAGAGAGAGAAAATCTCAGTCTTTTACAGCTTTAACGCTTTATTTTTTGGAGAGAGAAAATAACTGTGAGGCGTCCAGGAGTCGCTCCAAACTTTCCTCCAGAGGGAAGGCGGGGGCAGCCCCGACCCCCCTCCCTCCCAGGTGTCCTCTGTGAGCAGCTCTGAATGTACTTGGCCAAGGGGAAGTAGGGCTGTTGAGCAGCTTTCATCAAAGATCTGACTGAATGTACTGTTGTTACCTATTCAATCTTCCCCCCCTCCCCCCGTGGCTCTTATACTGTTGGGGTGGGGTGTGGGGGATGGATTTGAGTTTACAGGGTGTCTAATTTTAAAGTCACTTTATGCATCTTTCCCCACCCCCCCCACCCTTTAATTTTTTTATTTTATTTTTTTCTTTTTCTAAAGCACCAGGTTTTGGTTTTTGGTTTTTTGTTTTCCCTGTTGGATTATGGTGGATGTAAATGGACTAACTACTAGCTCCTGGAAAAAATAAAATTAAAAAAAAAAAAAAAAAAGCAAACTAAAAGGGAGGTGGGTTCCGAATTTCCAGGTACTCCTCGCTTAATTTTGGGCTGAGGGTGTATCACTGGGGAGGACGGGAGGGACGATGTTACAGGGCATGGTTTTTTCAGCAGAAGGGAAATTCTTTACAGAAAACAGTATTTTGCTGAATACTTTTTATAATGTGATATATTTTTATTTTGTTTTATTTGGTCACTTGCAAACAACAACACCAACAACCACAAAAGAAAAACCAAGGAGGAGAAATCAATTAGTCCTCAATATTTTTTTTTTTTCCTTTCTCCTTCTGGTATGTGCATGTCACTGCATGACTATTCTGATTTCTTTCTTCTTTTGTTTTAATAAAACTGTGCTCAGACATTTAAGCTAAACTAAGCAAAAATAATAATTATTAAAAAAAAAAAAAATCTTTGTTGCCAAAAGGTCGTGCTATCCAGGTTTGATGTCTGCATGTGAAAAAAAAAAAAAGTAAAAACATACAAAAAATAAAGGAGAAGAGAGAGGATGCAGTCTAATTTATGTGAACTGAAAGGAACAAAAACAAAATCAGGTTTAACCACACAAACCTAAGGGAATGATATTTTTTGAAAGACTTTTGTATAAAGTTGAGTACTTAGAGAAAAAAAAAATCATACCAGATGTAATATATTTTGTGGATGTTTTTATTTCTTGGATTTATAGTACCTTATACTAAGGTTAAAAAAAATTATGCTTGATATTGTGAAAAGGTGATAATTTTCACACACATTTCATTTGCTCATTTGTCACATTGTAATGCAAAGATGATAGTTAATGCATACAGCATTTTTAAGAAAAAAAATCAGAAACATTGAACTGATGTATTGTTGTACCATTTGCACTGTGAGCAAATGCTAATGCAGTAAATATATTGTGTTTGCTGACAATCAAATCCTGTAGTAAATATCTTTATTTTACCTTCCTTCCTAAGTACGCATTGGTTCTGAAAAATTTGGTAGTATGCAAGAACACATTCAAATGACTTGCCTGAAATGTGTAGGCTGTTGGGCGATGTGCCTCTCTGCAGATGACATTTTGGAATCCACTTGTACATTTTCTGGCGATATATATATATTTTTCATGTGAGGTGTGTTGTTTTTTGTTTTAAATAATCCAACCTTTTCTCAGTTCCAGCTCCTTCAGGTTCTGTTTACAGGACATGGTGGTCAGAACAGGAGCGCTTAAGGCAACCAGGACTGGCCACATTGAAGCCGGATTGCTCCTTTCTGTGTCCATTTTCCAGCTGGTCACAGAAACTAGAAGCCTTTTAAGATACCGAGAACTTGATCCCAAACTCATGCCAGTCCATAGGAGTACTGCCTTGCAGACCGCAGACTTTGGATCAGGCTCCTAATCTGTTCCTGTCCAGTGGAGACCGGGGTGCTTCTGACAGCTTTTTCTCTGGGGGCTCTGCCTGGTCAAACTGGTAATTGTATAATAATGTCACCATTTTACAAGATCTTAGTTGTATGTGGTCAGGATCTATTGTATCTGTTCAGTAACGGAAGGCAGAGGAGGATCTTTTTGGTTCAGCTCTTACTGCTTGGTTTCCTTTCCCAAGTTGAATTATGGCAGGTATATATAAAAAAACAAAAACAAAAAAAACTCAACAAAAAACAGGAGAACTTTTCCATTCTGATAGCCAGATAGGTCACTCCGGATGAAGTACGTGGGTTAAAAATAAAAATAATGCGAGGGTTTCAGTGACTGCTGTAGCCACCGCCGGAAAGGAAAACATCCAAATAGGAGATATAATATTATAAGAAACCTCGTACCCTGAGAGTGGGCACGAGTCTCTTTCGCACCCAACCCCATGCATGCTCCAAATTCTTGTGTTGCGGTGACTGCTGCGGGAATGGGAAGTTTAACTCATTAACAGTTAGAAAGTGCTTTGAGGTTGATTGCTAATGAAGGGCAATGGAGTCTTACGTTAAGTAGCAGCTTGTCTTGCATGCTGGCTGGGGTGACTGTTACTGTGTGGGAAGGGGCCTGCTGGGGAGGACGACTGGCATTTGTCCAGGTTTTTACATGCCCACTTTCCCCATTTGTGGACCCAGGCGAGATCTGACCATCAGGCCTGTTTGCTTAGCGCCTTCTCCTCTTTTCTTTCGTAGGAACAAAGGATGTGTAAGGATGTAGGCTCTCATTCAGCAAGGAAGCAGGTGCCTAACTTGGACTTCGGTGGGACCGCATATGGGCTTCATGTCAGGCATGTGCTTAAGTGCCTTGTTGAACTTTGGCCCTGGTGCTGCTGTTTGAGCAGAAGTAGTACGGCTGAGCCCCCACCAGTCTCAATTTCTGCAAGCAATAATTGTCTGTTGCGTTAGAACATCTCAAATTATAGCCTAGAGATCCGTAGCACAAAGGGAGCGAAGAAAGCTGCCTTTACTCCTGGGGGTATGTACCCTTCTCTAACCTGCCTTCCCCCTCTCATTCTTCTCCTTACTGTCTGCTGCATGAAAGACCCGGATGCACTCAGGTTACTCCAGTAAGTATTTGGAGTGGTGCCACCATATTTCACATCCTTTGAGAGAGAGATTTTTTTTTTTATCTGCGGACCAGCCAGGGCAAAGCAGGTTCGGCTGCTGGATTTTCATTTGTCTTTCTCAGGGGGTCGCTAGGTGGGATGAGTCAAATGACTCCCAGTGTGGCTTTGCTGTAGTGAAATCAGGTTGGAATTGGCCTAAGCCCATAGGCTGCATGGGCTTTCTCAGGGTTGTGAATGTTGGCTTTGAAGTACCGTGGATCTCTATAATTGCAGGTTCTTTTCTGAGCTGGGGCACCCACCTTCTCCCCTCTGGCAGGAGGTTAGTGTGATGTCTAGGTGGTTTGGCATTTCTTGGTGAAACTCAGAGCTGGTATTTTCTGCAGCACTGGGACAGTTGGGATCTCAGGAGACTTGGCGTTAGACTTGGGCCTTGTGCTGACTGTCTTGGGCCGACAGTTTCCCTGCTGGCGCTGTTGTGAAGTTAGATGTGTGCGGGGTGCCCGTGGCTGGTGCTGTCTTTGTGCGTGTGCTTTGTAAAGTACTAGGAGATCCAAGGAGGTATATAAATACTAGGCATTTCTGCATGCACTTACTTTGGCCAGTTTGGGACATGTTGGGGCATTGATGTCTATGCATGATGATTTCTCTTGGAAATGGAGATCCCGGAGGGGGCACTTGGACCTCATGATGAACAGGTGGTTACAGTGAGCCACTAATAATAGGAAATTTGCATAGAGAGGCGTAGAGCATCCCCCTATGCACAGAACTGAAACAAACAAGTTTCTTGGCAGCGTGGCATCACTGAAACCGAAGGGGTCCCATTGCTGCCACCAGAACAGTCGGTGTCAGCTCGTAACCCTCTTTCCCTCTGTTGGGTGACAATGGCCTCTGTACAGCAGATCTCTGTCACGTCGTTGCTTTCTATAAACCAACCTTGGCCTGTTTGCCACTGCCAACAGCCTGCACTTTAACGTGGTGAGACCAGAGAAATATTATGTGGGATGGAGGCAAATGTGTCTGTCGTAAGTGCTGCCTCTTGTCAGGCCCGATGAGGCCGAAGAGTGTGGTGGTAGCTTCACAAAAACTGATGGAGAGATGCCATCTTGCGTTCTCTGTGATGCTGAAAGGGAGAGCTTCCTGCCAAAAGCATCCCTTCGTCAGGGCTGAAGTGGACTAGGAGTGAGAGGCTACCTCCATGTGAGGAAGGGTCCATAGGAGAAGTCTTCATGGCTGAGGCAGTGAGGGTGATGGGCACCTTGGCTCAGCTGAGCCCAGGTGGGTGTGGGAGTGCTGCAAAGCCCTAGCCAAGCTGCGTGTCCTTGCTGGCGCCGCGTTCACTAGGGCGTCTCAGGGCATATCGTCGGGTTCTTGGGCTGTAGGAAGACAAGTCAGATTTTCTCCCTGTAGGTATGTGGGGGCAGGGGAACAGGCAGTGGAGCACTCTTTTTCCCTTATGTGCTTTCACCTCCATCGCCACTGTAAAGTAGGTGAGATACCAGCCTGAATGAACTTGAATGCTAACCTTGCCCCACCATCCTAGCTAGCCTTTGTGTGAGCAGGTTTGGTGGGGGGATTAGGAGTAGTACTTGAATCGGGGCCCAGTTTGGCGCCACAGTGAGGACCTACCCCCATGGTATATTGCTGCCTGGTGGGTTTTAGTCCAGGTACTTTGTTTTTCAGAGCCCAGGCCTGGTCTCCTCCAAGCCTGTGACAAACCTTTCAGTGAGCGCTGGGTCGGGCCCTCAGATATAGCGGGCTTCTGTATGAGGTGTGCTACCCACACAGCCTGTACGTAGTGAGGATCGGGGTCTGAGCCTCTGCGGCACTGAGCGCCTGGCACTTCCCTTGATGGCAAAGGGTGGTGAGGGGGAGCATTGCCATGCAAGAAGGATGCTGGTTGCTAAGGAAGCACAGGGCTTCCCACCCCCCTTCTGGACCAGCTGTAGTGAGGCGGGGGGTGGGGGTGCTTTTGCCAGTCACATACCAGCTCATCTGTCACAGCACAAGTTACTGCCTATTTATTTTAACAGTGTCCTTTAGAGGCATGAATAAGCCCATTGCTTGACATTCTGCCTGTTGTATCAATAACAGTGCTTTGCCCTTCTCCACCACCTTCCACCCAAGGATCTTAAAAGACCTTGCAAACATTTAATTAAGGCCGACTGCCCTCTGAGCAGGAGGTTGCATTTCCAAACCAAGGTGCAGAGAGCTGATGTCATTTCCCCAGGTCGCTGTGACTTGGGAGCAATCAGGGCCACAGCCCAGGAGCCCTGGTTCTGCACTGTCATCGCTAGGCTGCACTTCTTTCTTACAGCTGCGAGTAGAGCCCAAGTCTTCACCTCCCCGACCTCATCCTCTACCCTAACCAGGCTGAGCTTTGCCTCTTCTCTAGCAGCTCTCATCCCCATGTGGCTCCTGTCACCCCTCCACTTTGAAGCTGGTGCCTGCATGGAACCAATGTTTCTTCTTCAGTACGGCAATTTCTAACCCCAGCTTTCAATGCTGCATTTCCATGGAAGAGTAGGAGTCATCCCTCTGGAAGCTGCCTAGTTCGTTGATGGCATGTAGCGCAGACAGTGGAGAGAACGGCCATTTCTAACTTGACAATGGAGCTCTGTCCAACCTTCGCTGGGGTCTTTATCCTGACAAATCTGCTCTCGTCAATGCTGTCGAAGGGCAGCCCTGCTGCTGCAGAGGGGGCCATGGTGTGGGGATGCCAGAAGGGGGCTGTTGTATTTTTACTCATGGCAGAAGCAGGTAGGCTGAGCGCCACGCAAGGCTTTTGCTATCGATTGCTGGTGGCAGACGGGCCCACGGGAGGCTGACGAGTCGCATCTCTAACTCCTTGTTAAAATGATTTATATGAGTCATTCTCATTGCTGCCCCTGGATGTTTAGTCTTCCTAGCTGCCGTGTTCGTCGTAGGGGAAATGACCAAAGCTTCATCAGTGCGTGACCCTCCCTTGCCTTAAATGCATCTACCCCTGTGCTGCTCAGGTGCCTCCTTGTTCCCTTGCTCCAATCAGGGGCTTTACCCCCTTTCCTGCACTAGCCTGCCCTGCCCCCTGTAGAGAGATGTGCATGGGCTCCACCCCATGGTGCTTGAGCACCTCCTTCCTGCTTAGGGTCTCTGCCACTCTCTCGGGCGCTTGGGAGAGGTCATTGTCCCATGCTGCAGATGGGGACTGGAGGCATCAAGCCCTGATTTAGTACCCTAGCAGCTGGGCTGTCCTTCCACACAGGCAGAGCAGTGCAGGGCAGGGCCGGGGAAGCAGGGCAGGGCCTTTGGCACAAAGTCATCCACTGTCTGGGGTGGTGTGAGATCCAGGTTGAGGGAATCTAACCCATGAGCTTCCCTGAGAACTTTCTTAAGGCCTCCCCATTCCCAGTGTCCAGCCTGTGCCCCACCACCAGCCGAACCCCAGGGGCTGCTAGATAATGGCCCTAGGACCACACTGCCTTCTCCATCTTTGCTGTTTGTTCCCTTCAGGCACTTGCAGATGGTTCAGCTTCCCACCGCTAGGCATCCTTTTGCCAGGGCCTATTTTTGCAGTGAGTACCTCTGTCTCCCCCAGGGCCCAGCTGGCAGAGTGGGTACTTGGCAGCCAGGGCTGCCCATCTTCCAGGGCCTGGTTTCAGGAGGGTGCAAAGACATGACACTCTCCTTGGATTCACACGCAATCCATGGCACTGAGCTCCTCACAGACTCAGGCCACCTCAGTCCCTGCCTTCCTCTTCGGCCGTTTCTCTTTCTTGCCTGTGTTCGCCATCCAGTGTGTTTGTA